TCCATTGTCCGGTCTCGTCTATGTTAGTAGATGTGTTACGTTATTCTCTAGAGATCTCCTGTGTTTTAGTTGGTGGATTATAAAGACTATTGTTTATCTACTCCTTTGTTGTGCGTTCTCAATACAACTACCCCCTGACAGAGGACCAGACTTATAAAGAATGGACTTACCGGCAGACCAACTGCTCTGTATGGACCAGGAGCAGCAGTACCTCGAGATCCACACCTGAAGATTTTGTGCTTAACAAACTTCCCGGACTGTTCCTTCTGCACATTCTACCTCACGTTTAAACGCGAAAACGAAAGCATGCCTACCAGGTGTGGGTCATTGGGGAATTTTGCAGAGTTTGTGCTTGAAAACAATAGACCAGCAAACACCATCTGCTCAGCGGAGATCATCTCCTGCCCCACTCTGAACCCAGAGCCCAGCCAGCAATCACCCTGCAGCACGGATATGACACCAGAGCCCACCGCAAACGGAGGGCTTGAGCCTGCCGTGATGCACGAGCCAGACAAGAGGACTAAGCCAGCCATTGCCTCGGAGCTTGAGCCCCACTGTGAGTCTGACCAGGGGTGTAAGCCGGCAACATCGCCACTGTAGGATTGCTAGAGGTGGATGCTTACCCTAATCTCCCGTCCCTGCTGGTCCCGTCCAGCACAAAGTCTCCTGTGTTTCCACTGGTTCTGTCCAGTTCAGAGTCTCTTGTGACCCTGCTGGTTCCACCCATATCTCCAGAGTTCCCATCCAGCCTCCCTCTCCCGCCTCCTCTTCCGATGTCAGACATTCCTTTAGTCCGGCCTCTGCTGGTTCCCTTCAGCCCCTCGGCTTCTCAATAACGCCACTCTGTTGAGTGGATTTGCCTCGAGTCTTCTAGTGTCGCCCAGGCAATTGGATACCCCGGCTCTGCCTCCAGCCGCTGATCCCATCACTCCACCTCGGCCTGTCGACCTCTCGGCTCTGCCTTGGCTCCTCCCTTCCTCTGCTCCACCTGAGACCATTGTCCCTGCAGCTCCACCGGGCTTCCTCGTCCCTCCGGCTTGGCCTTAGTCCTCAGGCACTCTGGCTCCACCTTGGACGCTTGTCACTGCGGCTCAGCCTCCAGGACCATCGTTGTTGCCCAGTCCCATCTGCTCTCCGTCTGCACCTAGGGCTCCACTTCCATCGGCCACGTCTCCGTCAGTTGTCCCCCTGGTGTCGTTAGCTAAGTCTCCACCTGTCCTGGCTGTCCTTTGGATTCCTGCATTACTACTTCTGTTCCTGGATCCTTCCTGGCTCCTTCCACCATCATTACCACCCTGGTTTCTCCCACCGTCATTCTCCTCGGTTCGCATTCACATGCCCCTCATCCTCTTCCAGATGCACCTTCCGGGAGGGGGGTGTAATGTCACGTGTATTCTGTTTTGGTTTCGTTTCTTTATGTCCTGTTCCTGGTTTGCCTGCCTGAATTGCTAGTTAGTTTCCTTGGTTCTTAATTTGTTAACACCTGTTCTGTTTCAGTCAATCATCCCTTGTGTATCTCAGTTTCCTGTGTTCCGTTGTCAGGTCTCGTCTGTGTTGGTAGTTGTGTTACGCTATTCTCTAGTGATCTCCTGTGTTTTAGTTTTTTATATGTTTAGGAATTGTTTTGTGATGTCAGGATGAGTTTGCCTAAGTTTTAGATATTTATACTTACATATACTTACATTCCTACTTTTGATCTGTTTGCAGTTGCTCGTTTTTACAGTGCAAAACAGGAGGACCAACTTACCGGTAATGCCAATGATTTTGAAACAGAAAGCAGCCGTTTGAAACAGCCATAATGGTGAAGTGAAGTTTTGAACCATTGCGTTACTATTCTTTCAAAATATTGCATTTGGGCTCTCAAAGTTCCTTCCCTTAAACTCTCACTAGCATGCAAAGAGGAAACATTTGTAGACTTCTGTCTATTTAATGCATTCCAGCAGACCCCCTCAAGCTGCGTGAGTCAAATAAGAATGTTTTTGATTATAATCAGATCTGTGCTTCCTACCCTCAAAATGTAAGATTTATTAATTTGAATTTCATATACAATTTCCTTTTCCATTTGGATTACATAAACTAATAAACTTAATGTGATGCATATTTGTCAGTCATACATAAATGAAACAGGTAAAATTTCTGCACTCAAAAAATTGTGGCATGGTTTATTATTAACTATTTGCATCTATTTTATTGATGATAAATATGTAAACCTGGTTATTGTGTATTTAAATACATTCAGTTTATTAGTAATATTACAGAAATCCTACCTGTTTAATTTATGTATGGCTGTTATGTATCACATTATGTTTATTAGTTAGGTCATGTTAAAACTGTGATCCAAATGGTTGGAAATTTTATATGCAATTCAAATACATTAATCTTAAATTTAGATCTAAATATTTTTGAGTGCACAAATTATCACCGTCATTTCCAGCATGCCATATTGAAGTAAAAGCAGCTTAAATGTTTCAATGCGCTATTGGACAGGTGGCCGACTATGACCAAGAATGGTCTTTATTTAGCAAAACAACCCAAAAAAGGTAAGAATGATCCCACTTTTAACTATGTTAAAAATGTAGCAAGTAAAATCCTCAGTGTACAAATTGGTCTTGAGAGTGCAAAGGAGTTGGACTACAGAACACTGAGATGCTCGGAAAGGAACCTCAATTGCAGTTAGACACATTCCAAATTTCCTGGGCAACAAGACATTGATCATGGCCAGACAGATCCACATGTGTCGGAAAGGAGATAGTCTCATGCCTAGTGGCTTATACCATGTAAGGAAAAGACCTGACTTGGCACACGCGCACTCCAGCGTCAAAGCTTTTCCACAGCTTGACGCCTGGATAACGTATGATAAACAGTATGTTGCGATGGAACACATTCAAGGAGTAAACCTCAAAACGGAATTCAGGATTTCGGCCTTGCGCACAAAACAGCTGCAAACTTCCCCATACATATTTTTGATGGACCTACCCTAAGAAAGTTCAGCTTCGTTTTACTCTGACCTCACGCCTTGGGAATGCTACATGTGCCAATTGTCCATCATCTTTGGTTAAGTGGTACACTCCAGTTCCAATATATATAATTCCATCCCAAAAAGTGTTTGCTGCATAATTCAAGGCAGCACTATGAAAAAATTTGTCTTCAAATTACCTGCTTTTCAACATCTGGCAGCAATGAACTGTGTATTAAATGAGCAGTCTAAGGAATTGTGTCTCGTTATATTTAACTACGAATGGTGCTAAAAGTCCAAATCCAGCTTCTAGCACAACTGAAATAACTATAGATTACTTTGAGTGCATAGTCTGGTCCATGTCCAATTCACTCTTAATCCTGACGGATTAAGCTGACAGGAGGTTTCAACAGAAAATGCAGTAGGTGATTGTGATTTTTAAATATCCTTTTTTAGTTTTGAATATTCATACTGGAATTTCTGCCAATCAAAGCAACCAGTTTGAATATCAATGTCTCTTTCCATGTTGTTGGATGATTCCTTTGAGCACAATGATTCTACCTGATCCTTAATGGGCCCCTGCTGACCCAGCATCCCTTGCTTTCTGATTTCCCCCCTGAGTCTGGGCACTGAGGGCCAGCAGCATTCCCAAGCTTGATCCCATCCCACTCCGGAAACATAGGGCAGTACTCCTAACATCCTGCCCGCAGCCTGTGCCAAGGCCCTGTTATCGCTGTGTGCTGAATTGCCTCCAGATTCTGTTCAGCTGCGCAAAACACACACACTGCCGCTGTGCATTCCATACACTGCTTCATCTGTCACCAGATCTGCACTCTGGGATATAATACTGAGACATTCTCCAAAAAAAAAAAAAAAAATCCCTGTAATGGTTTATTTACTGGTTTAGTCTTAAACTGTAAGACTGTGTCGCATGATATGCATTCACCATGGAATATTTTTTGGTCAAAATGTTTAATTGTATATATAAAATAAATTATATTTTATTATTAATAAAAAAAATTAGGATAGATTTGGGCTATATTATTATTTTTTTATTATTTTTTTCGATTAAATGTATTTATGGCCATTGTTATTTTTATGTATTAATTTAATATTTTAGTAGAAATATTTTTGCCTAAAATTATTATCATTAAAATGTAATTAAATTAAATTATTAAAATTTAATATTTTGTATGTTACCTTTTATATATATATATATATATATATATATATATATATATTTTTACAAAAATAAAAACCTATAGGCTGCTTAATGGCAGGTTCAGCTGTGACAACTTACCCCATACAGCGTAAGAACATGCCTCACTATTGCTCAGTGTCTGAACAGTATCTATTTTCCTGGGAAATAACATAAAATAATAATTATTATTATTATCATTATTTTAAAAAAAGATTTTTTTTTGCTAAAATTATTATTATCTAGTTTTTTTAGAATAATGTTTTTGCTAAAATTATTATTGTTATTATTTAATTGTATCCCTTGCTATTGGTCAAAGTGTAAATAGCATCTATTTTCCTGGGAAATAACAGTGAAAATGTTCAAGAGCTAAAAGAGTAAAGAATGTGACAACTAGCCCCGGTCTCCCCTCTATACAATGAGCAGAAACGATTTTAAAGTAGCGTGATGCAGGTGTACTAAGAAAGCTGGCCGTCAAATGCAACACACACACATAAAAAATAAAAATAAAACTCATTAGAAAAAGGCTGGATGAGCTCATGCTAAAAACAACTAGTAGTTAGTGAATTTGTGGGAGACCCTCCAATTAACTTTGACTGTAATTTAAAAGCAAAGGGAATCTACAGATGTTCTTGACAAGGGAGCAAGTGCCAGGGGAAAACAGAACATTTGTCATACAATTCATTTGTCTTGCAAAGGCTACAAATTTAACTTCCAGTAAATTTTGTTGCCATTAGAAGCACATTTTTATACATTAAAAAGCATGATTATAAATGAAAGCATGTCCATTTTAATTAAAAAACATTTTAAAAGGCTAAAATGAAGCACTATGCTTCTAACCCCTACCTGTAACGGACTGGAGCAGGTTTCAGTGCGCTTTCCAATTTAGTCTTCAAGTGTGATCGTGCTGCTGAAAGGGCACTGAAGGAATTACATGAGTCGTGACTCCACATTTTATAAAATGTGCAGCATTTCAGACTCCGCCTCTGCCTTCACCACTTCAAAGCATTTGGCAGCAGTTTTCCTGCGCTTTCCTCCATCCATAAGGAGCCTAATAGATCAGTGTCATATATTACACTTTTATAGCCCCCAACACAATTTGTTGCATCTAAGGTAAAAAAAAAAACCATCTTGCATTAAACCGACAAAATTATTTTTTTAAACACAAACTACATGAAAACAAAACAACAAAGAATGAAAAATTACACTTACAATAAAATTACACTAACCCTACTGAAAAACAAAACATCTTATGTGATTTAGGGTACGTTTACAGAGATCCGCGTTTTTGTTGTTTAACCGCAGACCGTTTTCAAAAACTTGCACTTTGAAACCCGTTTTTAAACGGCGCTTTGGGCGTTATGGGTGCTTGAAAACGAAAACGGGTTTCAAAGTGCAAGCTTTTGAAAACGGTCTCCGTGTAAACAACAAAAACGCGGATCTATGGAAACGATGACGTCCTGCTCATGCATTTCACGTGTTCAGTCTATACTATGTTTCACCGCCATCTAATGGCCTGGCTGGCAGCAGAATGCAGCATTTTGTCAATTAAAAAAATATAACTTAATCTGGAATCCCCTTTAAACTGTAAGGGATTTTCTGTGTTCTGTTTATGTGGGGTGTGTCTTGCATTTCTGTTCTGTTTCCCAGTTGTATGTGTTTCAGTTTCTATGGTTACTCATTGTTTGACTATTGTTTTCACCTGTCGTTGATTATGTTAAGTTACTACTGACAGTAATTCTGATATTTTGGTGGAAATGGCATTTGGTAGCTATAGACCTTAGTCAGGTTAGACGCCATATTGAAGAAAATGAGGCTGTGAGGGATAGACTACATAGCACACACTGTATAAAGGTCCTAGATCACATCATTTTCGCAACTCACAATGTTTAAAACTGCTTCATGGAGCTTTTTTGTATTGATTTTTTGGTCTATGCTTTATGTAAATGTGCTTGGTGTGAACATCATACTGTCACCTGCCTGTTTGACCATCTAGCCTATTAGTTTGCAGCCACAGCAGGAAAAAATAGTTCTGAGCTCAACCAGGACAGTGGCATTAGCATTAGCATCCCATGCTAAAGTCCTAACCATAACCATTTTAAGAGAAACAGGTCTCAGACTGGCAGTGAGGACGAGGCTACATTGTGTCCATGACTCTCTAGGCTTTTGCCAAACAGAACAGTTCTCAAATTAGATCCTTGGCAGAGCTTCTACAGTCAGATTCCTGTCATGCTTTTTGTGCTGTTTCGAAACTTAAGTAAGGGCCGTCAAATCCACGTTTCAGTCCATGACAAATGTTTTCTTATAAGGAGTTTATATCAAGTGTAATCAGAAACTGGCTGTCCGGTCACATCTTCATAGCACAGCAAATAAACTCAGTGAAAATCACATTACTTTTTAATAAGCATGGAAGAAGATGGATGTGGCATGTTTTCCCATGAGCATATAACATGTTCAAATGTATATACTTCTAAGAGGACATTAAAGACCATGAGGATATGTTTTAGTGCCTCTCTTCGAACATTCCAGCGCAACAAGACAAATGTGAGCTATTAGGTTTAATGAATATGTACTCTGCCAAGTGCTACATCCTATTGAATAACCAAAATCAGTTTCCTTATGTCATTAGTGCTTTCTATAATAATAAACTTACCATCCACCACTATTTTATTTAGATCAACATTAACTGGAGAAATGTCTCCTCAGAAAACACTGTAGCAATGCAGCACCTCCTCCTGGTTAACTCAAGTGTTTTCTACTTTTTCCACACACACCATTCAATACACATTAACCCCTTTTATATCTGTCATCTTTATTTTTTTATATTATTCTTTCAGGAAAATGTATCAGGGATGTGCTAAACCCAGCAGACCAGTTCTTCTGGGTGGTGAAAAAAAAAGTGATACTACATAAGATGTGCCACGGTTAAATAATAGTATAGTCGGACAGGGATAGAACTAGACATGTAACAGTGAAAGACACTGGATATTATAACAAAAACACCACACATATAGCATTTCTTTACTTATACAGTACAGTGTTGAGCAACATTAAATACACAAAAACAAAATAGAGGTATTACAGTGCACAGACTTTATAAACCACAACGAAGTCTTAGTTTTACTCGCCAGGTTTTCTTTGCATTTATGTTGGTTAATGTTGGATGAGATAAAGAAAGAGCTAGCGTTGGCAGCATTTGGCATTGCATGATACAACTGAATACAAGTTAGTATTAACACATATTATCTTTAAATATATTTATGGTAATAAAAACATTAGACAAAAACAAAATGACCTTTTTAAATAATTCCGTCCAAAATATGCTACCTGTAGTATATAACACACATATTTTTTTAACAATTTAAAATTATAACATCAAATTGAGTCTATTTTATATATATATATATATATATATATATATATATTACACTTAATAAAACTGATGGATTATGAATACGAATCCAATAACATTAGGTTTAATCTGTGCCTTGGAAGTCCAGACAGTTGAGTGAATAATTTGTGCTTGTTTATATTTTATTCAGCAATGACACATTAAATTGGTCAAAAGTGACACTAAATATAATAATGTTAAAAAAAAATTATATTTCAAGTAAATGTTGTTCTTTTTTTTTTAACTTTATATTTATCAGAGAATCCTGTGTCACAATTTCCACAAAAATATACTAAGCAGCACAACTGTTTTTAGCAAGATGAATAAGACATGTTTCTTGAAAGGATCATGTGACACTGAAGAAGACTAGAGTAATGATACTGAAAATTCACATTATATTATAGTAAGCAGTTATTTTAACTTGTAATATTTCAGAACATTACTGATTTTACTGATATATATATATATTTTTTTTTTTTTAAATACAGAATTTGTTAAATATTTGTATTGACCTACAATAACAAATTCTATTAGAAAACAACTAATGGATGCTATTTTTACCCAAAGGAAGGCACTGGTTTTCTGTGGCCTAAAATCCATTGATAAAAATAACAGGCTCAAATACAAGAGTTAACAAAAAATAACACCACATTAAATGATCATTTAAAAAATAATGTTATATCAGTATCTACTTCATTATTTGGTCTACAGATCTCCTGCTGTGACAAAATATATGCAGCAAGTCTGCATTTGGGATAAGTAACCATTGCCTGAATTCAAAATATTGACATATATCTCTTCTAGACTCTTAAAGTACCACTCTAAACAGAACGCCTACCTCGGACAGTGCTTCAGGACATACTGAACGACTAATGATCTTTCGGTGTGAACAATTCCTATCTGAAGATTCTGACATTTTCCTCAAGAAAACCCTTATTTATTTTCTGCAATAACCTTCCCTTGATCCTCCACCTTTTTGATGGCCGCCTGAATTTTGGCCTGGTCGCCCAGGAGCTGGCGTGGCTTGACCGGTCGGAGATTTTCATCCATCTCCAGTAAGACGGGAACTCCCGTGGGCAGCGTTACATTGACAATGTCTGTTTCCGATATATCTGTTGAGAAACACAGCAAAAGCATGTACATTAATTAGCATATTCAATTATTTTAGGTTTATGTTTTAATACCAACTTTATTGGTATTACTGTCCACTTTCTATGCTTTATTATTAATAATGTTTAAAAACGAGCTATGAAAATGATAGAATATTAAATAAAAACAGGATTAAGAGCAATTTAGTGTTTTTATAACGTGCATTTGAATGTTTAGGATTTACTGAAGGCCTATATGGTACACTAATGTTCAAAAGTTTGGGGTCTGTAAGATTTTTAAAATGTTTTTGAAAGAAGTCTCTTGTGGCTCACAAGGCTGCATTTCATTAAAATACAGTAAAATGGTGAAATACTGTTTTCTTACAATTTTACGGTTCTCAATTTGAATATATTTCAAAATGTAATTTATTCCTGTGATGCAAAACTGAATTTTCAGCATCATTTTCAAAGTAAGATATTTTTAAGAATGTTTCATGTGTATTTGTTCATATAATGAACACCAGATGCCACTGACTTTCACTATATGGACAAAATATCTTATTTTGTGTTCCACAGAAGAATTAACATTAGGGAACAACATGAAGGTAAGTGACAACAGAATTTTTTTTATTTTTTTTTATGCTCCTGCTGGTATAAAAACTGTTTAAAAAAAGCACACTGACAAAAATATTTATTTTTCACCTTCCAAATGTTTAAGCAAAGCCCTGCAGCTGTTGCCGTGTCCAGAGATGAGGATCGTTTGGCCACTCTTGATCACAGGTACAATGACATCATTCCAGTAAGGAAGAAGTCTGTCCAGCACTTCCTTCAGACTTTCCGCTGTGGGCAGTTCCTCTTTCGGAACGTCACACGTACTATATCGGCGGTCATTGTAAATTTCAGCGTAATAGGGATGTGACTCATGAATGGGGGGCGGCGTGATATCATAGCTACGCCTCCACAGTTTAACCCGTTCCTCGCCATGTTTCAGCGCCATCTCGGCCCGATTGAGGCCGATCAGGGCACCGTAATGCCGTTCGTTTAACCTCCAGGATTTTGTGACTGGGACCCACTCTTCTCCCATGGCCTCCAGCACCAACCAGGCTGTCTGGATGGAACGGCTCAGTAAGGAGGTAAAAACCTGGTCGAATCGATACCCGTGCTTTTTCAGGAGCCTGCCGCATTCTTGGGCTTCCACCACCCCGTTCTCGCTCAGTTTCTGGTCAACCCAGCTGCAGAAGCGGTTCTCCTTGTTCCAGGACCCCTCCCCATGCCGGAGCAGGAAGAGTTTGTGTTTGGACATCCAGAAAAGGCAGTATGGAAGCCTGAAAGAGATGCACATGCTGATATATACTCTATGACAAATCTCAACTGCTTGATTATGAATGTCAAAAAAATTATTGCCCAGCTCGAATCTGCGAATGATTCGATTAATGATGTTGACTTTATTCAACAATTTCTTGGAAGAGAAGAAATTGTTGAATAAAGTCGTTATTTTTGTTTGTTTTTAGCGCACAATAAGCATTCTCGTCGCTTCATAAAATTAAGGTTGAACCACTGTAGTCACATGGACTATTTTAACAATGTCTTTACTACCTTTGGGCCTCGAAAGTGGTAATTATATTGTGCGACATGAGGGTGAGTAATTAAAGAACTAGCCCATCAAAATATTATTAACATTAAAGAGCATATTGCAGGTAAAAAAAAAAAACTAAATTAATATATAACCTTGTATGAAAATACCATAAGAAAAGTTAATGCAGGATTTAAAATGTTTTAAAACGACATAAGGGCACTAATTTAGTAGATAAAGTGAGCGTTTCTTTGACTGCTCGTAAAAACGGCTTTTATTTCAACATCGCGTCATTTTACGTCACGCTAGGGAGCCTCAGCCTCGGCTCAGTGCAGAGTAGGCTGGTATTCAGTAAGGGCGGTCGTCAGTCAGTGTGTTTTCGGTAGTTTTTGTATTTCAATTTATCATCGTCATGGTAAATTATTGTGTTTGTGGAGGTTGCAAAAACTCCGGCCTGTCTGGACATCGAGTCCACAGGTTTCCTAACAAGAAAAAGGATGGTGCTGTCTTTCGTGCCTGGTGCGGTTTGTGCAGGTGAAGAGAGGGGATTTCTCTTCCGCATCGGCTTCGAGAAACGCGGTCGTGTGTAGCGTTCACTTCAGATCGGAGGATTATCATCCCGGCGATATGATGGAGTTTAATATGGGATGCCGAAGCAAGAATATTGATCGTCTTATACTGTACCAATGGCATCAAATAGTGTGATATATGTAACTTAGTCATGCCCTAAATAGAGGCAACTGATTGTTTAAATATTCAAATCTTTAATTTTCTGTTTATGTTATAACCCAGGTAAAAAAAATATGTATTAAAAATGTACTTGAGTATGTTTTTAGTACAATACAAATATACTCAAGTATAGTTTTTATACATTTAATAGTAGGCCTATACACCCTAAACATGATCATGTCTGCTGGCCTGATATACGATGGTAATAATCTGTACAATATTGTGAGCACAGTGTATATCGTTAGCGAACGTGTATACATCTATAAACAAACACTGGTCTCTCTCACCAAGACACCTGACCTGCTCTCCCGCCCGTTACGTCACGCCCATTTTCAGACGCGGAAGTAAAATGTTCTCACAAAAACGACTCCAGTAGCTTCTTTAGCGTATTTATATTTTAAAGAAAATCTAGTTCCTACATTATTTTTCTATACATTGACTCGTTGGGTCCTCTAACCTGCAATATACCCTTTAACATGGTTTTCTGTAAAGCTGCTTTTGAAAAAAAATCTGTAAAAAAAAAAGCGCTATATAATTAAAATATGGCCATAATATACTTATTTACTACAGTATGTACATGCAATAAAACATGATAATGAGTTCCAGTTACTTGTAGAATGACATTTAACTTTAAATATAACAAACTTAAATATAGTCACCCTGCATCTATCTATCTGGAGAACAGAACTGAAAGGTTAAGGGTCATGAACTAAATGTCAATGCTAATTTAATAAATGGTCTAACCAGCTCTGACCAACTCTAATATTTAAACGCTAAATAGAAAAAAAAAAACTTTCGTTCGCAGTATAAAATGTAGAAGCATCTAAATAGCGACCTAAAAATGAAACCCAGTAACGTTAGCGATCAAACTGCTGTATGACAACACTAGAACACAACTGAACTAGCCTGCTAGAATGTCATAATAATGAAATCGTACCGTGCACGCAAAAACGTGCTTATATTAATCATAAATCTAAGTGAAGATGAAAGAAGCTGTGAGCATTGAAAATGACTATGAATTACTACATGCTCACCTTCAGATTAGAAACCGCCCAGCCCAGAGAAGCTATACAGCCTTGCAACAGGAACTATCAGCAAGCAGCATCAACGAACAAAACGCGAGGAGGATTGAGTGACACATCTTTCATCCAATCAAATGCGTGATTCTCCACAAGATTCTCCTCTATGCGTGATTCTCCCATAGACTGTAAAAAGGATTCTCCACGTGTTTAAGCGGACAGTGGCGAATCGGAACTGCCGTTATTTTGAGGTTGATGACGTCATATCCAAATAGAACCGTAGTTCATTTTAATAAAGGAGTAATTTGTATATAATGATTACAACCTTATTCACCTAATTTATCAGGTAGGCCCAGTTACTTTATTTCAAATCATGTGTTAGAAGTTCTTGAATATATCATACGAGAAAGTGGTATTTGCTGCCAGAAAACTCTTACAGAGCAGCAATACCAGTCAGAAAACCTTGAAATAACTGTGAAAACAGTGAAAGCTTTATTGTTCCTCAATATTCACACATCTGATCACATATACATCTCGTTACAATATAAACATTATTATATAATGACAAATGCAATTATATTAACATAAATAAATGTTTTATATGTGTCATAAAGCACATAATGTTTTAATAGGCTATTTGAATTGATAACTGTGGTTATAACAATAGCACAGCTGCTTTGTGAATTTCTTTCTCTTGTTTTTTTAATTCATCCAGCTGTTTGTGGAATAAAACAAACACAAAACCACAATTAAATAGCAGTTAAATGTTGGTGTTTAAATAGCCTTTACTTCACATTGGATTTAATATGTGAAATAATTAATGATAAATAAATTATTAAGAAGTTGGTCCCGCAAACAGCTTCTTCCTGCCCTCCATGCCTGACATGGCATCCACATTTTTACGCCAGTCGGTCACTTCCTCTTTCTGTGTGGATTACAAGTAAATGCATATTTTTTAACTGTTATTACTTGTATTTACAACAACGTCATGTTTTCTTGAGCTATAGAGAGTGCACATTAAAAGTGCAATACATTGTTAATACTGAATAAATAATAAAATAAAACAATACATATACATTTTATTTCAAAATTATTATTTATTATTATATGATTATTGATGAAGTAACAAACAAAAAAGCACTGAATCCATAAAGTCTAAGTAGGATATTGATAGATGTGTTGATTAAATGTATTACCTTTTCCTCCTCCTTCTTCACAGTCTTGAGGTTAGCTTTAAAGTCGATGGATTCCTTGTGTCTGGCACCTAGCAGAGCCCCCAGCATGGCATCCGCAGACACCCTCACTCTCTTCAGGGCAGGTCTCTTCATTTTACCCTTCAGCTCAAAGATTTTGTGGTTTAATTCTGCAATCTATACCAAAAGCAGCAATGTAAATGAATGCATCAGTTAATGCTTTTACGTTTAGGTATTTTTAACGCAGTTTTAATGCAAAAAGAAAGTACCTCCTTATCATGTTTGCCAACTTTAGATTCAATGTCATATCGTTCCTCATCAACAACATCAATCTTTTGATGAAGGTCTTTGCACAGATTCTGTAAGCAGAGCATCAGCATGTAAGAAAGAACATTGTCAAAGGAATTCTGACAAATGACTAAAGAATAGCAACCTGTAGGTCCTGTATGGACATTCCAGACAGTTTGATAGGAGGAGCTCTCTCACTGAGCGTTTGCTCTCGCTCAATCTTTTTCTGTTCCTTCTCCTCCGCCAGCAGTGTGCTGGCCTTCTTCAGTATTTTGGTCTGCAATGCATTAAAATGAGGATGCATAGCCATTCATATGTAGGCTACATCATGGTAGTTGCTTTAAAATATATTCATACATAAAATGATTATACAAATAAATAGATACTAACCTTTAAAAATAACCGCCGAGATGCTGAAATCTTGGGCTTTTTCTGAAGAAGAGAGCCGATATGAAATGAACAACATTGTGACCCTGCCAGCTGCTATCTTATATAATAATACTGGAATTAAATACAGTGTTTAAATACTCACCGGACTGACACAGATAGAGCCAGGAAAGAAAACACATATATTTAACATATAAATGGATGTATAATTTCTATCTGATATTTATTATTTTATCATTTCCATAACATAATATTTGAATAATAATAATAAAAAGTTCCTAAAATACTTACGTTGCTTCAGACATGTTAGTGCCTTTGTTTTTTCCTGGAGGTTTAACAAATGAAAAGAAAAAGAAGACTTGTGTTCAGGTCCAAAAATCTAAAACAATATTAAAAATAGACTTCCTAAAAACAAGGAACATTCTGATGTAATGTCTATGAGAAAAAGGTAAGAAGCTAAGAAATCTACAACTACTGTTCTATCTTATACGCATTAATAACTACAAGTTGTCATAACCTGAAGGTCCTTACCTCTCAGATGATGGAAGTATGACTTTGTTTTGGCCAAAGGGAAGAAACACAGCAGATTTATAGATTCTGATGCTCACTAAAATAGACCACTGTCCGCACCATTATCATTGTCAAATGCTTCGCATCCCAGTCTTCAGAGCAGCTGGTGCTGAAATGCACTTTATGTTATGTAGACTAAGGGTGAGCACAACAATACTCCAGGATTAATGAGACTATATGTGTCCGGTGTACGCATTGTCTTATCCAATGTTGAGGGTTATGTAATCAGATTACTTTTTTCAAGTAACTAGTAATGCATTACTTTTAAATTTACAACAAGTAGTTACTAGTTACTTTGTTTTCCCATTATCCCCATGTTCAGAGAAATATTGTATTTTTAGATTAAATGTGAACATACATTTACTCATCTCACTTGCACAAAAACAGATTCAGTATTCCTCAAAATAAATAAAAACAGTGAAATGCAAATTCAGAATTTTGCCAATAACTAATGTTTTTGCTGCTGGCCTTCAATTATCCAATTCAACCATACTAATAAGCACAAATGACTTCAGATTAACACCACATTTGTGTTTCTTTTTATTGTTTTTATTGCTGAAGTCTGAGGCTTATTCATTTCACTTTTGGTGTGAAAGGGCCACTTGCCAAAAATATAATTTTTTTTGTTATTAAAATACAAAAAAGCAAGCCCATTCCAGGTGATAAAAAGTAACGCAAAAGTAATGTAACACATAACTTTGCATAACGCAATTAGTTACCTTTTTATGGAGTAACGCAATATTGTAACATAACTTTTAAAAGTAACTTTCCCCAACACTGGTCTTATCCAATTTAATCTGAACTAAATTTAAGTTTCATGTACAATTGTTCTTTTTGGAGTATACTGTACTTTGGAGTTTGTTCTTTTCATACAGTTTGTACTGTATATCTTGGGAAAAGAACAGTTTGATAGGCACATATCAAGACTTTACAGGAAAAGGTTAATAATCCTATCATATCCTATTTGAAAGGGACATTCAAACAATTTGTGAAGACATTTTATGTAGGAATATTACATGATATTGTCATATTTTCCTAAATTCTATTAATAATTCAGATCTGAAATAATATATTTTAATGTATATATTTTATAGGCGACATGAATGATATTTTCACAACCATCAATAAGGGACCTTAAGCATAATAGACTGACATTCTGGGTTTTTCTTCTTCCTGATATATGTTGTTGCAGGCTGCCATCAATAGTTCAAAAGAAGAACTGCAGCTGTATTAAATATGACAAAATGTGTAGAAAGTGCTTTTAATTTGAAAAACAATAGTGTAAAAAACATTAAATTTGGATTTACTGATCAGATTCTCTTTTCGGCATTCAAGGTCAGTACTGTATCAGTACATGGTAACACTTTACAATAAGGTTCAATTTGTTAACAGTAGTTAACGACATTTGTTAATTAGTTAATGAACTAACAATGAAAAATCTAAAGTTGTTGTATTTGTTAATACTATTTATTGGACCTGAGGTAACATGAAGGCTAACAATAAATAGCTAACAATTTTATTTTTATAAACTAAAGTTAATAAAGAAAGACTGTAACAAATGTATTGCTCATTTAATGTTATTAATGCATTTACTAACGTTAACTGATCCTTATTGTAAATTGTTACCCTGCATATCTAGAGAGATGTTTATGCAATAAAATATATAAAATAAAATGATGAAACAAAATACATATATTTTTATTTTATATTTTGTTAGTCTATAGGACTATTACTTTGTCTCTGGTATAGCTATTTAACATGGTTAACTCTTATTTCACACAAACAGTCTATTTATAAATGCATTCTATCTACCATAATCCATTACAATCACATAAGCCTATAACATTGTTAACTCTTATTTCACACAAACAGTCTATTTATAAACGCATTCTATCTACCATTATCCATTACAATCGCATATAACATTGTTAACTCTTATTTCACAAAACAGTCTATTTATAAACGCGTTCTACCATAATCCTCAGTACAATCACGACCGAAAACAAGATCAACATTCAATCTTCGTCACTCTCTCAGCCCCTCAGCGAACACCTTGGACAGAAACCATGGCCATGAGAGCAAAGGAATACAAATCTGAGAATAGATTTAATACAGTGTGAATATGAAAAGGCAACATCAAGAGGAAATGTTTTACACTTAAGCCACTCCGATTTTAAAGTTTAGAACTTGGCTTTTCGATAACGAAGTGCTGCAAAAAGCTTTCAAGACAAGTACATCTGGCTGCAACTTACAGAAAAGGGCGGGGCTACATGTGTCACTCCGCCCCATGCCTACTCTGATTGGCTCTAATGTGTTCGTAGTCTGTCATTCAAATCTATATGAACTGGAAAAGCTGTGCAGTTTCACAAGGCCTTCATTATAATAAAATAAAAAAAAACATTACCCTGTATCTGGCAATGTCCCTGAAATGATTGTTTTGCTATAAGCTGGTATTTAGGCTAACTCATGAACAACATTTAAACAAATATGTATTTATCCACAGCAGGTCTTCAGGAAGAGGAATGGATTATGAATTAAATGATTCACAAAATGTTACTCGGCTACTTCATATCACCATAGTATAAGAAAGGAAATTAAAAAGATGTAGGGCTATCAGAGTATCGTTTTAATTTAATTAACGTGAAAAGACACACTTATTTTAAGTATTTTTGTTGTTGTTGTTGTTGTTGTTGTTGTTGTAAGCAATTTCGGGTGCAGTTGTATGATAAATGACACTGCACTAATTTTACTTGTGTCGCATTAGAAACCTCACTTTTACTGGAGTAGGCCTAATATTTTATTAGTGTATCTCTGCTTCAAGTAGACTTCTCCACTTAAGTACAGGGTATGTGTACACAGTCCACCACGAATAAAGATTTCATAATTAATTTCTCTTGCCAATGCGGGATGAAGGCTAATGATGTGATTTTATCAGCCGCAAATGAAACTATGGAGAAAAAAATGTAATGAAACGAAAACTGCCCGTAGGTGGCGGCAAATCATTGTCTTAAAGAGTGAGTCAATCACTCATTCAAACGATTCGTTCGAAACGAGGAGTCATTATAGCCGGTCGCCTATTATGTACCTTTAGTTTTACGTCTGTCCAGCAGTAAACATCTTCTTTCTGCCCTCCATTCCTGACATGGCCTCCACATTCTTACGCCAGTCAGTAACCTCTTCTTTCTGGGGAATTCAAGGTAGAGACACAATTATGAATATTAGCACTGCTGTCCGTTTAATTTATTTGATATATTTTACTTCTATCATACACTCTCCTCTTCTTTCTTCACAGTCTTCAGGTTAGCTTTGAAGTCAATTGACTGTGAGTGTTTGGAGCCCAGAAGAACACAAGCAAATGTTCAGCCGACAGTTTCACTCTCTTCAGGTTAGGCCTCTTCAGCTTGCTCTTCATCAGATCTTCTGATTCATTTCCTGTATCTTTATCAACACAGACCACACATGTTGCACCATAACGCAGTCCTTTGACCGAGCTGCTAAGCTAACTGTTCGATTCAGTGCTAATAGTACGCTTCATCATTGAGAACTGTTTATCAAATGCTGATGTTTTTCTTTCCTCTTTGTCATTTTTGGCCACCTTAACGCCAATGTCATAGCGTTCCTCATCAATCACATCAATCTTGTGATGCAAATCCCTGCAAAGTTTCTACACACAAAACAGTGTCAACAAACTCAAATATGGTGGTAACACTTGATTCGAAGCCTGTCTTATTAGGATGCATTGGTTTTCATGCTGTAGAGCAGGGATTCCCAAAGTGTGGTGCGCGCACCCCCAGGGGTACGCGAGCTGTCACCAGGGGGTGCGCGAGAGGAAAAATGCAATGGCGGTCTGTCTTTTTAAATGGGATTTTTTCCATACAAAAAAAAACAAACATGAACTGTAAACATTTCCTTTGTAATCGCTTATATTTTAAATAAAAAAAACTATTATTTGTTAGTTTTTAATAGAAACGTATAAGACAGCAGCTGCTGTCTTCTTCTAAACACTGCTCTGCACACGTTATCAACTTCTAAATTCAAATGTGCTTTCGCGCGTTGGCTGGCGCTTAGCCAGTGCTGTCATAGCCTATATCACAACTATTGAGTGTTTTCAACCACATAATGTTTATTTTAAGTTTCAGACATTTAAATATACATAAGTACTAGCAAAACAATGATTTTGATTTTGCTGATATCTATGGATAAGGCAATAATAATCATTTTTATTATAAGATGACACGTTTTATTCATATCAGATACACATTGTGTAGAACGTAGCTTCACATTTTACCCTATTCTTCTCCCAGTTCACCAGCCTCTTACGTTCATGTATTTCGTGAGAAGGGGAGAAACTGACGTGTTGTAAATCCAACAGATCCGATTCTTCTCTGAACTGTGGCACAAACTAACATGACGTCGCCCATCGCGCATACAGCTCAACTAACGCAATCGTTATGAAGGCGTTTAAACAACACAACGCGTCCACTTACACATATTTGACAATCGGAATATCAGTGTTTCATGCTATAGCTAATACATTTGTGAATATTTTTGATAAAAAGGAAAAATGACATAAAAGCAGATCCTCATTCATTCAGCGCTGTGTTGTGGTTGCGCTGTGTCCCGTGACAAGCAATGACGCGTCACCATGGAAACATTAAAGTGACAAATTCTAAATAACGGTCGCATTGGTGTGAAAGGGTTAAAAGTGGAAGCTTGTGCGTAGCTTTGTTGCATTATATTGAAACTTTGTTTATGTTGTTATTGTCATGTGTGTTCTGGTTATTTGAGCATGATAAAACATGAGTCTTTATATGACAATAAAACAAAGCTTTGTTGCGTTTAAAAAAAAAAAAAA